CAATTTGAATAAAACTGAACAAACATTCACAGAACTGGAAACAGATTAAAAGCATGCACTTATATAAACAGTTACTGATTACATAACAGAACATAAACATTAATTAACACATAGTTACATCATCATTGCATAATCATAAATCATAATAATAACAAAGAACTGAAATGCCTAGCAGTAAAGAAAGTAATAATAATAGAAATAATAATCACTATAATACATAATAATAATAATAATAATAATAATAATACTAATACAACGAAAGTAATAATCCTAACAATATAACACATACTACAATAAGAACCACATTATCATTATAGATAATACATGTAGTTTATAAAATCTTATACAAGTACATTTGTACATGTACAGTACATGCAGTAATTGTACATGTACATGTATTGTATAGTGCAATGGGAAACATTGGGAGGAGCTAATGGATTGGCCAAAAATTAAAATTGATAGTTGTTGTATTGACATTCTGGAGCCATGCATCATTGAGCAAGCACAGAATCATACAAAAGTGGTTTTTGTATAATACATGTACTATAATCCCTTACCCAGATAGTGCTTCCTTCAAGAGTCTAAAGTAAGGCATCCTTGAGATCATTACAATGACCGTTGGGAGGTATATCAGTTTACTGTTAGTCGGAGTACCTACAATAAACGAGACACCTACGATGTGTGGCCTCGCCCTTATAGCTGTTTGATTATCAAAATTAAAATAATTTTAACATGCAAATTGCATATGTAAAACAAGTGTACTCCTGAGGGATAGCAGCAAGCTTGTATTGATCTACCAGACTACCTGCAGAAGTAGCAGCATGCAAGCTAATCCAGCTACTCCCAAATTGGAGGTGTGGCCGACATCATCAACTATTAATTAATTATTTGATGGCAGCAAGCCCTGCAACAAGAAGGAAGTTTCAGATTTTTCTCTTCTTATAAGTGCTATATGATATTATAATGGCACAAATACTGTTGCCTATAGATGTAAATTGAGTGATTTGAGAGAGTTTAGGACCTTTAGACTACCTACAGTTCACTCGGGTTGAAATTCAAGAAGCTATAACTCACCAACAAGAAGGATTTAAAGAGTCCCACACATATTAAAACAATAACTAGTCTTGATCTACTGGAAAAGAGTCTCATTTACCTCCAGAGTACTACCGCTATTGCTGGGCATTTTCTCGTGAGTTAAAAAGCTTGTACTAGCTAGAGCTGCTCTCTAAACATCTCAAGGCAGTAAAGCAAGACTTTTCCTAACAGAAGAGAAGCTCTCACAGATTTAGAGTGCGCGATTGCAAAGATATACATTCTCAAAGACAAAAGAGAGCACACAGAATGAATGAATGAATGACAGACAGACAAACCGAGTACCTAGTCCTCGCCTACACAAAGCTGGGCGAGGCCAATTAAGGCAGGCCTACAATATGATAGCATTAGGCTAGCAAATGTACCTTCAATTTTTAGCAATTTTTAGGACACTTGACCTTTTGATGAATGCTTCCCACTAGGCTAGAATCAAATCCTATTACAGCATCAAGACTATTGTAATATTGTAAACCCACCTTTAATTTACTTCTGTACTTTCTAGGCATTTAAATGTACATGTATACATGCATCATTATCCATCAATTTACATTGTATTATTATTGTTGTATGTACATGTACATGCAATTAATTCATGTACATGCATGTATTGGTACCTTTTCAATGAAGAATTGACGTATGGACTTGATAGCCATGGCATAAGTACAAGTACCAAGGATATTAGTAAGGACAAGAGGAACACAGGCTGGCTCCCTCTCAGGAGCATACAACTGACAACCATCTTGAGAGGAGAGAGGGAGAAGTAAGAAAACAGAAAGAAATGAATTTAAAAGACAAAAATTACAGTACATGTACATGCATATGTATTGTTGTAATAAGTTTATAGATGTACATGTACATTTATTGCATGGATATAAAAGAATCATCAATTTTTGAGAGCCATTATTTTTCAAGTACCTGGATATAAGAAGTGATGCAGTGAATCCACCATCTACCACACAAGTCCCAAATCCTCTATTTTGAAACTCTTATTAATGCCCACCCCATCAGCAAGTGATTTGTCACCAGAAGGAGTACTAACTGAAGGATACACATTAGTGGCACTACCAGTCTTGTTAGAGGAGCAATTATAGGATGAACAATACCTGGGGCCAGTACTTGAAGGAATTGGACATTAATATCATGAGTTAGTAACTTCTCATAGTCATCTTGGATAGTCTCAGAGAGAGAGGGAGGGAGGGGGAGAAAGAGAGAATAAAGAAGAGAGAGAGAGGGAGAGAGGAAAAAGAGGGAGAAAGGAGGAAAAATGTGATCAAAGCAAGACAGAATAAGAAAGAAAAACAGGCAAAAAGCATACCATGCAATGGCTTGCAAGGACCAGCATTGCTAGTGTACCATACAAGTACATGTACACACACACAATTTACAATAATTATCACAAGGTTCAGGATACAGACAATCACACTTGTGCTCCTGTTGGTAATGGTATTCCCTAGGATTGACTATTCATATACTTTCACTTTCAATGTCAGGATTTTAAAAACAATTTGATAACATTTGTTGACCTGCAAGTTGCAACAACAACATTCAAAATAATCAGACAGTGAAGCATCAATTAAAATACAACAAAACTGCCTAAGAAAACAATATTAATTATCATTCTTTAATCTTCCTTAAATCTCTTCCAATTTAACATTACAATTGCAGCAAAATGTGACAGTTGACATACATTTAAGAAGACTGTAATCAACATTATCATGTATCAGTTATGATATGCCTATTCTTCATTAGACTTACATGTTTCTTGGACATGAAAAATATTAAATGCTTTAATATCAAAAAATTATCATCACATCGTCAAACTAAAATGTTTAATTTTCACATGAGGATTACGAATCAAGCCTTACCATATAAGGCCTGAATAGGTAATGTTTATTAGTTTCAATTCAACCTTAAAACTGGTAAAGATACACATGTACATGTGTTATTATCATCAAAGCAATATTACAATCATAATGATGTATAGGTGTACATGTACATGCATTTATAAATGTACTATACAGTAATTACCATTACTCTGGTACCAAATAAATTTAGCATGTATACATGTACATGTACCGCATTTCCTTAAATAAAAGCCCGGGCGTCTATTTCCTAAAATGATACTTGGACCTCCAAAAAATATATAAAAAATAAAAAAAAACTTTGGCCCAGAGCGGGATTCGAACCCGTGGCCTCAAGCTTTTGACTTCTGGAACTTCAGGCATTGCCCACTAGACTACTGAGTCACTCCTAGGCTGGTGTTGCGTATTTATAGTTTAATTCTATTGCTACCCCGGCGTTTATTCGAATGCGGCTTCTATTTAAGGAAATACGGTACATATAGGGTAGTAGAATGCAAGCACATCTTTCATGATCTTCAAATACAAACACCTTCCAAATGTTAACATACAGTAATGGTAGCCCATTATAAGTGGATACACACCACAAGGATAAGCATTAATATGTGTGAATGGTACATGTACATAAATGTACACTGATAGTACATGTATATTTGTGAATGTTAACATTAGGCTCAATGTCCATTCATTGCTCCAATATGTACATGTAAATATATGTGCATTTAAAATAAAATATTAATCAATAAATTAAATTTCTTATGCTTAGTAAATTTTATAAAAAAAGGCATGCACAAAAAATTGAAATATATACATACTGCTAGCTGCCATTTGTACAATAACATCAGATGGTGATATGCAACTAAACATAACTATAGTTTGATATCATTAAAAAGGGTGAGAAGACACAACTAGTGGATCAGTTGTTTCAGTAATTTACACTAGCATGGCTGCACATCATAATACAAGTAGCCATACAAAGAGAGAGATTGCTCAGTGAAAGAGAGGGTGCTTACTCCTTGTTGGTCAATATTCAATCCTCTTGTGTGCTCGTCCAGCCGGGCCGGCCGTACACCACTGAGGACAGCCTGCATGTCGAGGATCATTGTATAACTTGTTCACGGGAGGTTTGCTCGCTGCCACAATCTCTTGATCCTCTCCTCCTGCTTTTCTTTACCAGCTAGAAGAGGAGAAAAGGACCTCAACAGATCAGGAACAAACTAGTGAGGCTTGCAACACGGGAGGAGAAGGAGAATAGAAGATAAGGAGGTGCACTTTAACTAGAACGCCATAACTTTTAATAACAGGATTTAATATAACTTATAACTAGCCCCGCCTTTATTAAGGTTATTCCACGTGTTCACATGTGCATATTCTGGATCTATAAATACGTCATAAAGTGTCTCTATAGCAACTATTATTGCGTCATTGGGTTTCTATTACGTCATTGGGTTTCTTTTACGTCATTGAGTAACTATGGTATCTCTATAGCAACCATAATGCATCATCATAAATGTGACCTTTGACCGACCAATAAGATTATACTGCACTGCCCGGCTTCAGTTAGTACCACCCTAATCCGGTAGGAAGAAGAGTCTCTGTCTCTCTGTGTCTGTGTCTCCCTCTCTAATGGCTGCTAGCTAGCCTAGCTGTGGTCAGTCCTGGCCCTGTCTCTCTCTCT